TACTGCCGTCGGCATCCTGTCACCCTACCAATGCTCACTAAAACAGAAAACGATCCTTCCGATCCCGTTCACAACGAACTCTTTCAAGTAATTTCATTATTATTTTTCTCTTTTTTTTTTAAATTTTTATTAAGGATTTTGGTTCATAATTATGTGTTATTTAGGTTTTTTTTTTCTATAATGAGATATGGATTAATATTTATTTATTTATTTATTTATTTATTATTGCATCCAGATAATACAAAGTTAGCTTTCTGCAGATTTCTTCTTATTATTTTGCACTGAAAACATGTGATCACTACACTTTTTTTTGAGTAATTTGATAATAAATTCTGAATTTTTTTAAATTTTTAATAAATTTATTTGTAATTTTAGTAGGGTTTGAAAGAAATTTAGAGTCTCTTTGGAACAGCTTATTTAGTGCGGTGGCATTTTAAAAACGCATCGGGACTGTTTGGGTAAATTGTGTTTGGCAGCTTATGCGCGTTTTCACATCGCATCACCTATCTAGGTGCGGTGACAGTTTTACTTTTCCAAAAAATAAAAATTTGTAATAGCCTCTGCACATAGCTCATCTTCACATTATTTAGGATCTGTTTGGGGCAGCTGCAGCTTATTGAATAATTTGCTGATAAGATGATTAAAAATAATCTACTGATAAGCTATGTGCGATGACTATTACAAGTTTTTATATTTTTGAAAAAGTCAGATCACTGTCAAAAAGCTACTACCCCACCTAGATATGTGCGGCATGAAAACGATGCTTTCAGGATTTTCAAAATGCATGAGCTACCAAAACACAGTTTACCCAAATAATATAAGTGTGTTTTCAAAACGCCACTGCACCAAATAAGCTAACCCAAATCGACCCTTAATAAGTTTCAGCTGCCCCCAACAGACCCTTAAGTATTTGGGTTTCTTTTATTTTCGTATTGAGGTTCTTGAAACCTCCATTTTTTTTAGCGCTATGCATTAATTTCTTCATATTAGATTTTTGTTCACAATTTTTCTATTATTTAACTTTTTTTTTTGTTTTCTATAATGAAATATGGAATAATAAAAATTAAAATAATGATTTTAGTTCTTTTTTTTGTTTCTATAATGAGAATATGGAATAATAAAAATGTTACAATTTTAATAAAATTATTATGATTAAAATTTGTAACTATATAATTAATTGTCATACTTTCTTAAAAACTCAATATAATTGAATTTGCAATTAATTTATTGATTTCTTTGGCATTCAAATTCCTTTTGCCACAACTCTTTCCTTTTGTCTTCATGTAGAATCTCACAATACTCCACTTTAATTTTCATTTGTATGCTTCACTTTATTGTTTGCAGGTTGTGGTGATGAGAGTCTCAATTCATTGTCAAGGATGTGCAGGAAAAGTGAGGAAGCATATATCTAAAATGGAAGGTATATTTACATTATATATATATATATATATTATGTCAATGACACAAAAGGGATATGAAATGAATGGAATTGGGATATAGATGGAATATAATGAAATAGAGCCACATTGAGGTTCCCTATGAAATGAGGCATGGAACGGAGTCACTACGAAGAAGTTCCTGGAGTTACGAAGGAAGCTTCGGACTCATATTGTTCATGGGTTGAGAACGGGAGTTGAACTCTATGAGGTCGAATCTCCCGTTGTTCCTCAATCGCTCAGTGGTAGAGCGGTTGGCTGTTAACTGACTGGTCGTAGGTTCGAATCCTACTTGGGGAGATTTGATTCATTCTTTCATGAAGAATTGAATGAAAGGGCTCGCTTTGACCGTTAGGAGTAGGTACCTCGTTACCTGTCTTTGTTTCTATTGTATTCTATCTCATCGTATCACATTCTGTTCTACAATATTTGAGAATCACCCTCAATACCTCGGCATAGATCCGACCCTTGTAAATAGCCAATTCAGAATTCTCAACAGTGCATCAAAGATGCAGTCATCGATTCTCCCGATAGGCCACAATTACCGCGAGCAAACATATTAATGACGAGGAACGTCTTTTTGCTATGCTACTCATACTTGTACTTGCTCTGCTATTCTGCCCAAGCCTGGCTGAGGAAGAGTTACGGGGAGTCAAACACAAAGATGCTGATTCCAGCCCGGGTTTTGGAATCTCTTACACTGTCAAAAACTCACCTGAGAAAGAGAAAAAAGTCAGGTCATTCTATTTCGGCAAAGGACCTTACCCAAGTTCCTATCCCCATCATGATTTTACTACCCCCAGAGGGAAGTATGATTAGTGAGTCATAGTAGAATTCTTTTGTTTAAAGTATCCACCATTGATTAATTAAAGGAGCATTTACATGCATACCACCTAATTCCTACCTATTTACATATCTAAAACTTTATACCAACCAAATCTTTAATATCACATTAGAAATACCACCATTTTAACTTTTAAAAAGTTAAATACACCTTTTCATTTATTGGTGAGAGCACTGAGGTGGCATATATGCGTGTTTGGGGCTGCGGTGCGGTGTCCCATTGCAGTTTTTTCTGTTTGTCAAAACTGCATTTTGTCTATGTTTTTGAAAAGCTGCAGCTAAAAACTGTATTTATCACCACAACTAGCTGCCTACGGGGCTGTCAGAAAGTTGCGGTCTGACTTTTTCAAATAGATTTTTTTTTAATAACCAATGCAACGTTTTGAACAATAACTTCACAATTATTTCTTCAAACAGATGCAACTCTAGAATTAAGTAATCCACGATTAATAACGAATGCAACTCTAACCACATAACAACTAAGTTGAACTACTACAGCCGTAGTGCAAATCTCTGATTATCTGATTGGTTAATAGTGTAGGCTACCGACGAATCCAGACCATGAAAAATCATGGGTATCTTGATGGGAATCTCAAAAAATATATAGGTTAGTCCATCTATTTAGTTTTTTTTTTTATAAAGTCTAGACTTTCTAGGGGTTAAAAATGTAAATACATAAGAAATGAAAGGTATGCATGTGAACTTCTTAATTACATAATAAAGCGGCGTAGTCACTGCCGAGGGGGTGAATTGTAAGGAATTGAATTGTTGAAAGAGGACCACTGCATGGCTGGCTGTTGCTCTTGGGGCCACCTAATTAATAATGATCAAATTATAACTCATATACTTTGTTAAGTATCTTAATGATTTGTTTCAGTTACATGTAAAGTTAGTTGGGAACCTTTATCTATCTATCTATATTCTCAAAAATATGTTAACTTGTTTAATATATATATATATATAACACTAAATAAAGTATTTTTGTGCATTTTTTATTAAATCGATGTGTGTTCCTAAATCTTTTTTGTCAATGAAATTTCAGATAAGATGAAATCTCACTCCTCTTGGAAAAATGAAGAGACGCTTACAGAGATGAAATTGAGACTATAATTTTTTAAGATAACTACTCATGAGTAGTCATTTCCATGAAATTTGCACTTCTAATTTTGTCCATCATAAGGTTTAAAAATACAAATTGGTCTCTAGATATGATTCTGACCATATTTTAAACTCTTAATTCTCATAAGCATATGCTTTATTATATCACATTAATTATATTTAATTTTAATATAGCATAAATAATATATTTGATGCATGCTAGAAAATTCGCGGCGATAGCGTAATGGATTATTGTCTTAGCATTGCGCGAGGATTCAACACACACTCAGATGAAAATGAATCAAGCTGTGATAACAACAGAAGTTTTTACGTGGAAAACCCGTAAAGGGGAAAAACTACGGGGTATGACCCAGTTGTAAAAATTCACCATAAATTGATGATTACAGATGCCCCTTGTCCCACAGGCGGGAAAATGTTAGTAGTTTTCCAAGTTACAACGTCGACTGACGACGTCTAGCCAGCGGTGGTTCCCAGCGGTGGTTCACGGAGGTCGGCGGTGATCGACAATAGTCGACAACAATCGATGACAGTCGGCGGTGGTCGACGGAGGTCAGCGCAGGGGGTGACAATGGCTGACGACAGTCGATGACGGTCGGCAGTGGTCGACGGAGGTCAACAGTGATCGATGACGATCAACGGTTGTCAACGGTGGGCGACAGAGGGCAGCGGCGACGATGGCGAGGATGATCTTGGACTTGAACTCCTTCTCAAAGCTTCGAGTTCTCTCTTAAGTCTCCTCCTTCATGTGAGGGGTGAGGCTCTATTTATAATGTTTTGAGTGCAATTAATGCAGGAATATAAATCATTTTGATCGGACAGTCCGGAGAGCTTCTCTTGATCAGATGATGTTTGATGGACATTTGAGTGCCTTAACGATGTCGGAATTGAACAATCTTGGACTCGCTGGATTCGTCTTTTCAATACGCTCGATTCGACTATGAACTCGCTAGATTCGACATATGTTTGACCTTTCAAATGCCGGAAATCCTCCAAATCCTCCAATAGTGGTTTAATGACTTGATCCGGGTTTGATTTGACTCAGATTGGAATAACTTTCATATCATTAGGTCTGTCTCATCGAGCCGATTAGTTTGACTATAAGTTTTCTAAAATCAGAGCTCCAGATGACTCTTAATCGAAGTTTGAATGTTTCTTGTTCAAAAAATTACACTGAGATTCGTGCTGGCTGATGAAATTTTGTTGGTGGCGTATCAGTTGCCCCCTTATTTTTGGGTGATTCTAATTTCTTCGTCTTTTTCTTTTGAAAATATTAATATCCATAGATTTTTCATTTTTGTGGGCATAAAAAATTAAAAGTAAAAATACTTTATTGCAATCATTATGTAAATAAGAATAATAATTATCATTTACTAAGTATGAAAATAAGTCTAGCTCAGTTGATAGTTCTCTTATGTTGTTTGTAAGGTAGGTACTTAAATTGATGGGAGCCACAGCTAGAGGCTTGGTCCTTTTCTTACAAGGGAGCATAACAGATGGATCAGATCACATAGGGTGATTGAGCCTTCTTCTCTACCATTTCAAATACAGTCAGGTAGAACATATGGACTACCATCAACTCTCAGGGCAGATATGAGGCTTAATGATACCCCCCTAATCTAGTCATTTATTTAGAATGGATATAAGTCCCTCAATCTTCCTTATTAAACTCATCATTTTAGCTAGCGCTCGAGTTCGATGCGAGTCCCATGACAGACTCTCTCAAACTAGTCAATCCCTTTTACTTTCTAGCATGGGATGTGAGTCCTAGAACTTTTCATCATGGTATGTTTGGGCTTCTCCCCTTTATCAGCTAAGTTGATACCCATAAAAAATGGGGCTCTGCATCTAGCTAGCCCAACTCCGCTCATTAGCTAGTTTCTTAGATCATTTTAGTCGACCAGGTCATGCTGGTGACCCAGTTAACCTTGACCAGATAAAAAAATTAGTCTGTTTTTTACAAGTGCATTGTGCCTCAATGACAAAACACACTTATTGAGGGTCCTTTCTTAGCATCAATTCCCGATGTCACCTGAGTAGGATGTCTGTCTAAGGATACAGAACGATGCCTATTTCCCTATCAAACAAGACATCCTACCGAACTTCCTAGTACGTGCAATGAGCATGAAATCAGGACTGGTATTGATTTTTCTCCACCCTAGGTTCCAATATGAGTATGTAGGGCGAGTATGGATTGTTATATTGCACTTTTCTATACATTGTGTTACGTGTTTCATTATAATATGTTTTGCATGAAGCATGTTGCACATGTCATTTGGCGTTGACTGGTCTCTATGGTCTTGTAGATATGACACATTTTGGTTTAATCGGCCGACCTGACACGGTCAAACTTACACATTAGTTCGATCGGCTACCCCAACTTTGTCAACCCATGCATTTTGGTTTGACCAGCCTCCCCAACATGATCAACCTTGCACATCAGTTTGATCGATCGTCCCAGCACAATCCACACTCACATATCAATTTGATTAACCACCCCAGCACAATCAACCCTCACACATCGGTTCGATCGACCGCTTCGACAAGGTCAACCCTTGCATATCCATTTGATTGGCCACCCTGAAACAATCAACCCTTGCATTTCGATTCAATCAGCCAGCCCGATATGATCAACCCTTACATTTTAGTTCGATCGACTGCCCTAGCACGGTCAACCTTGCACATCAGTTCAATTGGACGCCCTGACACGATCAACCCTAGCATTTTGGTTCGACCAACAGCTCCAGCACGTCCAAACTGGCATATTGGTTCGATCAACCACCCCAACGAGATTATACTTTGCACTTTAGTTCGACCGGCTGCCTCGACATGGTCAAGCTTTGCATTTAAGTCAGAATCTATATTCTTGTATATGATCAAGTATGTTTATGCGGTGCCTGACCACTTTTCCTGCTTTTCTTGGGATATGTCGCGAACCCAGCGACACTGACCTTCTCTATATTTTGGCATTTTTTTTACTTTTAATGCATGTTTGCATGCTTGGATTGGTTTCCCTATTTCTTTCTCGTTTATCTGGAATGTTACAAAAATTATAATTTAGGCTCTCGAAGACCTAAAATGTTAAATTTTTGAAAATCATAATAAGAAAAGATTGAGATAATTAAAATTATAGGATAAAATTATCAAGATTTTTAAAACTTGTCTTTACTTTCCTGCATGACCTTCAGGTCGGTTTTAAAACTAGTTGCATGTATGACTATACACCCCCATCATTTTTAATAGGGTCTCCATAAAATTTAAGGATCGCTCTAGATAACTGCACCATTTGCATATACACGACGAGAAGTCCCTGCACTTCTCCATATCTAACTGACATGGCA